CCAGGGAATGCTGTGCAATTCCCATAAAACGTGCCACTATGAGTGTGGCTGTTTTTCTGTTTTCACATGGGCACCCAACACAATTATGTTGTCTGGACCAATCAAAGCCAATGGAGAAACGTAGTTCTATTAGCTGCACAGAGCCGACTTCATCTTATCTGGATTGGCACTACAGCTACTATTTGCTACCTTCATTCTCTCCTTCCACTCTCTTCATTGTTATTTTACTATTACAAATCCATACTCGATAGCATAATACTGCTAGGCTTTATATCTTTTAAGAAAAGAAATCTAGATATGATCTTAATTGTGGGAAATGGTGTGTAAGTCTTACTAAAGCAGATAGCTCTGCTATCCCTTTTAAAGGAAAGTTTACAAACTGTATAAATTCCAAATCTGCACATGCATTGCATTTTAGCTTGAGCTACTGTATTATAAGGTAAACACAACATTTATTTCTGGTGCCCAGTGGAGAGATGGCACTGCCCAACCTTTCCTAGCCATAGTTCAGAAATCAGGGTGGTAAGACTCGGCATCTTCACCAGACTTAGTAGCTAGAACCGCACATCAAATTGATGCTGGCAAATAATAGGGACAAAAAATAATCCTCTCTTTACAGGGAAGGAACAGCAATCTGCATAAAAATAGCAGAACTTTTATCATTGAGGAAAGATATATTAGTGCAGTGGAATGGCAGGGGTCAGCAAATTTTTTCAGCAGGGGGCCGGTCACTGTCCCTCAGACCTTGTGGGGGGCCGGACTATATTTTGAAGGAAAAAATGAACGAATTCCTATGCCCCACAAATAACCCAGAGATGCATTTTAAATAAAAGGACACATTCTACTCATGTACAAACATGCTGATTCCTGAACTGTCCACGAGGCGGATTTAGAAGGGGATTGGGCTGGATCTGGCCCTTAGTTTGCCTACCCATGGGCTATAACATTATATTACATTAGTATAATGTGGAGGCAATGTGGTGCGCTCCAGCTGTTGCAGACTACATTTTCCATCATCCTTTACTGTGTGCCATGATGGCTTGGGCTAGTGGGGGTTGTAGTCCGTAACATCTGATGGGCTCCAGGTTGCCTACGTCTCCATTAGAGTTACAGACAAGAGCCTGGTCACATTCACTTTAAACCACAGTTAAACTTAACTATAGTTTAAAGGAGAATGTATCACTTGCTGGTGCATGGGGGTTAAAATCATGGCTACTTGGCTCCTCCCCTGCTTCTGGGATGGATAGATAGATAGATAGATAGATAGATAGATAGACAGATAAAAGCTATGGATACCTACTGAGGAGATCCATAAAAAACCAATTCCAAATGGAATTATTGTGAAAAAAGGAAATGGGGAGGGGGATTTTGTCCTCGCTCGGGGCATCATTTCCCCAAACTCTGCCCCTGATGGGGAGATGGAGGAGACAGGTAATTTTCTGAAGCAACAGATAGGCAATGAAAGTGGCATGTGAGTTAAAACCTTAGCAAATCCAGTCCCTCAAGCTTGTAAGCCTAAGTGCAGGAGGATGTATACTTTATACATGCCGTATAACTCAGCCTCTCTGCGTTCCCTTGGAGGAGAGGCTTTAAATTTTAAGAGCAGAGGAAACAGCCCTGCAAACAATCCCACGCAGCTTACTGAAATAGGTCCCGCCCTCATCCCGTCAACCTGTAAGATAGCATTTGGCCATCAATTGCATCATATTCCCAATTTAAAACTATAAAACCCCCTTTATAAGTTGCTGGAATAAAAACTGACAGCCTCAATTGTCATCTTCATTCACAAGGCCTCCCTCGAGTGTCTCTTAAAATCCAGAAGCACTGTTTTTGCTTCTCAGTTTGATAATCTATGCATTTCCTCTTTCATTCTAGTTTTCCCTGAATACTTATTTTTATCTGCAGTTAAGTCCTGGAGTCAGAAGCCCAGAGTTAATTCTGTACTGCGTTTAGTGAGGCTCCATGGCAGGCCTTCTCTTTACTGTCAGCAAAGCATACACCTGGGAAGAGATTTGCTTCTTTTACTGCAGGGGCAGATGAACTTCAGGCTTGTGAGATCTGCTTTGGCTTTGTACATACATTTAATGCACAGGACTTCCCCCAAAGAAACCTGGGAACTACAGTTTGCTAAGGGTGCTCAGACGCGGGTGGCGCTGTGGGTTAAACCACAGAGCCTAGGACTTGCCGATCAGAAGGTCAGCGCTTCAAATCCCCATGACGAGTGAGCTCCCGTCGCTCGGTCCCTGCTCCTGCCAACCTAGCAGTTCGAAAGCACGTCAAAGTGCAAGTAGATAAATAGGTACCGTTCCGGCGGGAAGGTAAACGGCATTTCCGTGCGCTGCTCTGGTTCGCCAGAAGCAGCTTAGTCATGCTGGCCACATGACCCGGAAGCTGTCTGCGGACAAACGCCGGCTCCCTTGGCCAATAGAGCGAGATGAGCGCCGCAACCCCAGAATCGGTCACGACTGGACCTAATGGTCAGGAGTCCCTTTACCTTTTACTTTAAGGGTGCTCAGAACTGCAGCTCTCTGTGTGGGAACTACAATTCCCAGGATTATTTGGAGGACGCAATGTGTTTTGAATGCATGGTGTGCAGGAAGCTAAGAGAACCCAAAGATTCACCCAACCAGAGCCAGGCATGAATTGGTGGTTAAGAAAGGGGCTGCTGCAGGGCACATGTTCGGGCCAGGAATTTCTTTTCAGGACCAGAATTGAGTTCACACTCCTGCCATGGAAAGATCCACTCCTCGCTCGCCTTCCCCCCCAGATTCCTTCATCTCAGCAGAACGATTTATATAGGGAGTAGGGTTTTGTTGTTGTTTCTATCATTAAGCAATTGGGAGTCAGAATCCTTGCTGAACTTACTCAGAGATCTACCAGCAGATGCCAATCTACCTTCTGCCCAAGTGAGAATAGTTGCACTCAGGTCTAACTTGTGGGTTTCCCATGGATATCTGGTTGACCATTGCAGAATGCTGCAAATTAACTCTCAGCCAGGTCCAGCAGTGCTTGTTCATATGCTCACGCCTTATGTTTTATTTCATAGACCAAGAACTGGAATGTTGCTGATCTTAGGGGAGAAAAGAAAGGCTGAATGAAAGCTCTTCCCTACCCCCCTAGAACAGCGGTTCCCAAACCTTGTTTCCACTGACAGCTTGAAAATTGCTGAGAGTCTTGGCAGACCACTTAACGATTTTTTGTGCCTTTGGTAGCAATTGTAATGCACTGTGCTACATATTGTATGATTTTAAATAGTCTTTTTACACCGTGGTCCAACTGATTGAAGCTCGTGGACCATCAATGGCCTGCAGATCCCTGTCTAGGAACCCCCATTCCAGAAAACCCCAGCTATGGCATCTGCTTTTCCTAGAAAAGGTCATTGGTTCAATCCCCTGACTCTCCAGGCACATCTGGAAAAAACTCTCTGCTGGAAAACCTGGAGAGCCCCTGGAAAACCTGGAGGCAACCCTGAGTTACCGTATTTTTCGCTCCATAGGATGCACTTTTTTCCCTTCAAAAATCAAGGGAAAATGTGTGTGCATCATATGGAGCGAAGACGCCATAGCCCCGCGACCCTCTCCCGGCTGGAGAGGTGACGTGCGGCTATGGCAGGAGCCTCTACAGCCCCGCGTCACCTCTCCAGCCGGGAGGCGCGCGCGGGCTAAAGAAGCACCCGCGCGCGCTCTCCCGGCTGGATGGGTGACGCGCGGCTGTTGAGGCTCCTGCCATAGCCGCCCGTCACCTCTCCAGCCAGGAGAGGCGCGCGGGCCAGCAGCCCCCGCGACCCTCTCCCGGCTGGAGAGGTGACGCGCGGCTGTTGAGGCTCCTGCCATAGCCGCCCATCACCTCTCCAGCCGGGAGAGCGTGCGGGGCTAAAGCAGCCCCGCGACCCTCTCCCGGCTGGAGAGGTGACGCGCGGCTATAGAGGCTCCTGCCATAGCCGCCCGTCACCTCTCCAGCCGGGAGAGCGCGCGCGGGGCTAAAGCAGCCCGCCGCGACCCTCTCCCGGCTGGAGAGGTGACGCGGCTATTGAGGCTCCTGCCATAGCCGTCCGTCACCTCTCCAGCCGGGAGAGCACGCGCGGGGCTAAAGAAGCCATAGCCCCACAAACCTCTCCCGGCTGGAGAGGTGACGGACAGCTATGGCAGGAGCCTCTCCGCTGCTCCCTGAACTGCTCTTTGGGGCTGGTGGTGGGCTTCCCCCCGCCAGCCCCAAAGAGCAGGTCGAAAGGAACCTGAAGCCTGGAGAGCGAGAGGGGTCAGTGCACACCGACCCCTCTCGCTCTCCAGGCTTCCAAGGTAGCCGCCTGAACGCACCTTAAATGGCACCTTGTTTTAGAGCGGGAAAACAAGAGGGGGAAAGTTCTCCCCCTCTCAGCACAGCGCCTCCAGACACTTCCCTGAAGGCGCGCTGGGCAGAGGGGGAGAATTTTTTTTTTCTTGTTCTCCCCCCTCTAAAACAAAGTGCGTCCTATTGTCCGGTGCGTCCTATGGTGCGAAAAATACGGTAGATGGCACAGCAGCCTGACTCAATATAAGGCACGTTTCCAAGTTCCTAGAAGGGCTGCTAATCAACCAGCATCCCTAGAGAGGCAAAGCTTGTCACATTCTCCAGCCATGACTGAGACCGGCCAGCATCCTAAGCAGCTGTTCCAATTCCACACTCATTCATCACCCGACACCCATTGTTTTGTCACAGGTTCACGCCTGCAGACACGGGAGGGAAAACCCAGCCTTAACTGCCTTGTTCCTTCCACCGTTCTAATCCTTCAGGACCTAAATTCCAAGCCTTTAGGTCTGTTCAACACCGCTCTAGTCAGGTAGAAGACCTGCTGAGCCCTGCGGGCTTGAGCAAAGGAGCAGGAGACGAATCTTCATTATTGACAGTGATTCATAGCGATATAAATCACTTAGGCAGACTATGGCCAGAGGGTTACTATAAGAAGAGCAATCTGGGGGCGGGAGAGAGAAGGGGCAGAGGAGATGGTAGAAAACGATGTGTTTGTGTGTGTGTGTGTGTGTGTGTGTGTGTGTGTCTCCACACACACACACACACCCCTACGCCAGAAGCAGAGAAAAAAGATGGAAGGACTTTTTTTGTAATTTAGCTCAGGAAAAAACTGGTTGGGAAACATCATGTGCTGCAACTGGCTGAGTTGCATGTAACAATATGCCAGACTTTCCAGTTGACAGCTTATCATGGCTTAGTGTGAATGATCAGCATGCTGGTGTGCACTGCTTGATCGTTCTCAGCTATCTGCCTGGATAGCTCAGTTGGTTAGAGTGTGGTACTAATATTGCCAAAATTCCAGGTTTGCTCCCCGTATGGGACAGGACAACTGCATATTCCTGTATTGCAGGGGGTTCGACTAGACAATCCTAGACCCCTTCCAACTCTACAATTCTATGATCATTCCCACTTTGCTCCTCCCTGGAACATGTGGATTAAAGTAGCACAGGGGAGATCAAGCTGGGTCAGAATCCCTTTCCCTGATATGCATTATTATTATTATTAATAATAATAATAATAATGGGGGACAGCACTCAAAAATGGCACCCAAACCAGCAATATGAATGGTACAGTTCTCTCTTAGTAATTTAGGATTGTACCATCTCATCCATCCCACATACACCAACGTCACAATAGTCTCTCTTCTTCACCTGCCTCAAGGGAATGAAAAGCACAGAGCACCCCTCCTTTCCCTGCACAGAGGTTTCTAGAATTTAGCAAAACCCTCCACTTTTAACTGAACTCTCCCTCCCACTCCTTACTGCTTTCATTATTATAATGCATGATTCAGCCCAATTCTTCCTGAGCGCTACTCCCAGGGAAGTCTGTTTCCACCAAAAGAACAGAATACAGTACTGTAAGATGACTACACTGGTAGCAATTGACACCTTTAATGTGGTTTAATGAGCATCTTTCGATGGAGACAATGTCAAAATAGACCCTGTAATATTAGATGTCTTATCCAGTGAGATTTGTCTATACTTATTGCCACAAGTAGATTCCGGCCACAAGACAGAGAAGCAATTATTAGTCCAGGATACAGCCTTGAGGTCCTTGTCAGGAAAGGATCCCTTCAGCTAAGAAGTCTTGCAGGGCAATGCTACTAGAATTGGAAAAGCAGTGCTTGGTGCCCCTTTGGTGAATCTATGTTGCTGAAGAGAAATGTGTTAGTTGCAGTTATTACTGTCATTAGCTTTATGGCTGTTCTGGGATATTAATTGGCCTGTAGGTGTGTTTCATGTTCATTAAATTTTCTGGGTGTATTTTAAATGGTTAATTATTGAGTAACAGCAATTATTAAACTGATAATTTGTAGTGCTGTAAATGGTATTATTTTAATTATGGGATTATGGGCATTGTATTATTGTCTTTGGACTGTTCTGTAGTAGACCGTTTTGAGCATAAATCCGTAGAATATGTGGTACACAAATAAACCAGTAACAGTAACAAATGCACTGCATTATATGCCAGCAATTATTGTGTTGGCTTTCCAATTTTTATTTAACAAAATTTACCCTGCTTTTCAAGAAAATAATTCTGGTTTACAAAATAGACAGCGCCATAAAATAAATCAGTCCAACAGAATTTTAAAACCATTTAAAACATCCATTTCATTTCAAAACACCGCTGAAATGCCAACACACATTAATAACCCAGCACATTTTGGACCTTGCCAAAAGCAGGATGGCTGTGTTGGACTACAATTACCATCATCCCTGACAATTGGCTGTTGACTGGGGCTGATGGGAGCTGGGAATCTAAGCAACACCTGCAATGCCCCTCCTATAAGCCCATTCCTTTTTCAAGTTTTGGTGTGTGTGTGTTTTAAAGTAACACGGCTTTTATAAAACTCCTAGAGAAGTCAACCATTGAGAGTTAGCTGTATTTTTAAAACACAAGGACAGAAAGGTGTGGATGGCAGCTGGAGAAACAGAAACTAGATGCCTGCATCTCCAATTCACATCCACGCCATACATTAAAATCACTCTTACACCACTTTAGACTCGTGGAGAATCCTGTGGACTGTAGTTCGTTAAATGTGCTGGAAATTGCTCTTATAGTAGATCAACACCTGTAACAAACTACAGTTCCCAGGATTCACTGGCGGGGGGAATATGACTGTTAAAATGGTGTAAGAGTGCTTTAAACGTATGGCATAGACTTGACTTCCATTTCTTCAGTTCACAAGTACAAAACTGACATGGGGAAGCAACCCAACGGACTTGACATCGGTAAACCGTGATGACCTGGAATTCTTTGCAGCCGGAAGAGAAGAGGTTGTTGCCTTGTTTGCCAAATTAACAGCAGCAGCAAAAATCAATAGGGCCAACCTTGCGACAACCCACAGGTTGTGCCTCAAAAGTGGGCTTCCAAGCACAATCCTCCAAGGGGCGGAGGCACCAGCAAGTCTGCAAAGGTGGTACAGATGCAGCAACCGCAAGAAATGCACGCTTGCTGCTGAAGCCTGCGCGCCAAAGAGTCCACGGGGAGAAGCTGAATTATTTATTGCAGAGGTCTTACAGCTTCACTTGTCAGAAGTGCTTCATGTCACCGAGGTCTGTCCCTTCCGTTCAGGAAGCGTCTCTGGCAGCCTAGACGAGATGAGGCAGCTCTCTCTGGGGAGAGAAAGAGGCCTATAGAGCAAGAGCCCGTTCCGAAATTGAAGATGGCACCCTCCCTGCTGGGAGCTTCTTCCAGGTGAAGTGCTGCAGATTATCGCTGCCTGAGCAGCCTTCCCGGCCAGGCCTGATGAGCAAATTGAGTTGACTCAGCCTTTATCAGGCATAATGGAACCATTTCGCATCAAGCATCAGCGTAATGCGAACACACAAAAGCCCATAACACTGGCAGGCCTTTCCAGTGGTAAAGTTTTACACGTAACGTTGTTATTTCTGCACTTATCTTGTTAGGCACCTAAGCACTCAAGGGCAAAATCACCTGCGATCGTTTCCTTTCTCTCAACATCTCCCAACGCACAAGCACACAAACATGGAAAGATCCAAGGCATCAAATGCCAATATAATGCCACTGTGGCTGTGGGCAGATTTAATTAGTAGAACAAGCCATTCCCATCCTCTGCAAATCTTGAGGTCAGTTCTCAGGTAAGTACAAGAAACACATTGAATCTCAATTTGCTAGGAATTGGGATTCTGTTGGACTACAACTCCCATCATCCCTGATCATTGGCTACGGTGAGCAGGGCTGATGGGAGTTGGAATCTAACAACATATGTAAGGCCACAGGTTCCCCATTTTTGTACCAGGGTAACGGTAAATGGGTGGCGTTGTGGGTTAAACCACAGAGCCTAGGGCTCGCCGATCAGAAGGTCGGCGGTTTGAATCCCCACAACAGGGTGAGCTCCCATTGCTCAGTCCCTGCTCCTGTCAACCTAGCAGTTCGAAAGCACGTCAAAGTGCAAGTAGATAAATTCCCGCTCCAGCGGGAAGGGAAACGGCGTTTCTGTGCACTGCTCTGGTTCGCCAGGAGCGGCTTAGTCATGCTGGCCACATGACCCGGAAGCTGTACACCGGCTCCCTCGGCCAATAAAGCGAGATGAGCGCCGCAACCCCAGAGTCGGTCACGACTGGACCTAATGGTCAGGGGTCCCTTTACCTTTACCTAATGGTAAATAGACAAATGCCAATGTCTCTCTAGCTTTGACCAGCAACTGATGGAACTTGGAAATAGAAAAGGTTCGGGGTGGAGATGAACCAAAAACCCAGATGAACCAAGGAAAAGGCAGGCCTCATGTTGATACTTAAATATAGTAGCTTATTATATTAACATTGCCCCCTTTGCTGAAACATGCTGTGCAAAGAACCTGCGTGTGTATTATGCTGGTATACCAGTGAGAACAACAATTCACTAAAGAACAAACTTTCAAAAAGGTTTTAACCAGCATAAAGATGCATAAAGAGTCTTTGCCCCTGAGATCTACTGTGCAAAACCCCATTTCAACCAATTTTTGCACAGCACATTACTACTATTAAGGATGAGTAGCACTTGAGGAACTCCATCTACAAATTCTACAAAATGTAAGCAGCCGAGTTTTTGGCATCCTTTGCACCGATGCATAAAGAGCTACTAGAGTAAATGAGTGGGAAAAGATCTACGCAAAACCCTCTCATTTCAGTCCAATCTCAGTGGGTACTTTATAGCCAAAATGGCTGTACAGACATCCATCTTAGTGATCGGGAGAAAGGGAGCAGAATAATGCCATCAGCGCACACAGTGCTATTACAGAGGAACAAACGTAGCGAATTGCTTGAGAGTGCCTCATAATGCAGATGGGTCAATGCAAGGGGCTTGTGGTGGTTATGTGGACTAGGCAGTCGCTAACTGCTAGCACAACTCAGTCAATGTTGTGCAGAGCAGCACCAAACAGAGGAACGCTTGAAGAGGGATCGTTCCATCTCACGTTCGACCTCTCGTAAGTGAAAAACACTGATGGCAGAGAAGACATTATCAGTCTTGGGAAATCCATAAAGCTTGGCTTAAGATCAAATGAGGGTCAATTAAAGACATTGTGGATTATTTATAGTGCCTTATTTGAATTCATCTTGGTCTTTTTCCAAGGCAGTGCAGCCCATTGAGACAAAGCTGTTCATTTATGCTTCCATGCACTGATGGCACACCTACATAGGCTATTTGGGGGTATTCAATGTGCAGGGAGAGCCAGGTCTCAGCCCATGCTAACTCCTTGTCTGAATGACTGATGTTAAGTGGGAGGAAGAGACATAAGGCAGTAGAATCAGCAGAGCATACATAGTCCTTCCATAAAAATACAGTGTCAGTGTGAGATTCTCATATGCTACAGCATTGCTTGAGAACCTGTGACCCATCAGGTAGCATTAGACTCCAATTCTCATCAGTACAAACCATGATGGCCAGTGGTCAAGAATGATGGGAACTGTAGTCCAATACACCCCTGCACTAGAAGGGCAATCTCTTCGGCTCCAATATTTACCCCAGGACAGACCCCTGAAAACATACCATTCCAGGGGTCCCATTGGCAAAATGGCACCTTTGAAGTCTTCCCCTGGTGCTCACAAAGCCTCCAATGGGGTCCACACACGCTACCCTTGGTGGTGAAGTGGTGAGAGTGGTTACCCTTTTCTCTCTTGAAAAAATACACAGGGCTGAATAAGGGAAGTAGAAGAGCAGCACTCTTTTCCACCTCCTCTTTTAGCTCTGTGTACTTTACAAGGCTCAGATTAATTCTACTGGCTCCAACTTTTACCCAGATCCCCTGGAAAAGGTGAAGTTGTAGGTGTACACTTTCTGTCTCTTGATGTGGCATTTGGCATCTGGGGAAGAGAGAAA